ATACCCCACACCTTCGATGAAAGCCTGTGTTTGTCCAATTGGTTTCACTCCAGGTACAGGCCAATTTTTGTACGATTTCAGTATGGTCGGCTTCAGATCACAAATTGGACTCTGGAGCGTTAGACCATAGCTCTGTTGCATTCTCTCAAAATGATACCTGAACGAATATCCATGGTGATCTCCCTTTCAGGTACCTTAATTCATAGGATATTGTAGCGAAATTTCGAAGAGGTAATATGAATTGTCCTCTTTTTTGCACTTTCTAGAGCGACTTGATTGCCAATTCTAGTAGCCGAAGGAGCAGCACCAACTTACACTTGACTTTTTGTTCCATTGTAGAATGTGAATTGAGCAAAAACCGGATTAGTCGTTGTGGAAAAGACCCGTGCTCTGAGCTTACAACTGGTTGCTGCCGAAATAAGCAGGAATATTAGCAAAATCATCTGTCAACCTGAATCGCCTGATATTCGAAGAGTGCCATGAACTTTCACATTCATTTGATATCAGAGATGCATTTTAGAAATGAAGAGTCACACTTATCACCTGCATAGGCTTAACCACCACATACATTTATAGTATGTATGTACCTCAGGGATGAGCAGGAGCTGAGCATTCAAGGGTTATTGAGTGAGCATGAGAAACGGAGAGAACACCCCCTCCCCCTCTCCCATGGCCTCGATTTATTCCACGAGTCTTGAACATGAGCAGCATGAACATGCACCCAGCTCATTCAACGCGCCATGAAAGAGTCTATGCTAGGCCTTTCTTGAAATACACAGTAGCAAAGGCGATAGCGAAGTACTGAGTCTTGACAGCACAAGGAGATCAGGAGCGTTGTCGCGAGCCATAAGGATTCGACGAAATGGTGGGCCGGATATGCCATACGGTTTGTCATGACCGGGTTACCTCGAAATGCAATCAAACAACTGAAATTTGCCGGTCCTTCATCGGATGATTGCAGTCGGGTTTCGATACCGTTGAATTACAAATGATAGCTGGTACACTACCACTGCCAGAACACCTGAATGGGGCCTCTATTGATCCACCCAGTTATAGTTCACTGAAGTGAACTACTTTAGTGGGTAATATAGGAAAGTGTGAAAGAAATCCTCACTTATGTGTGTTGCCCACTCGATTCCCTTCTCAGCGGTTTGAGAGGGTCTCAGGAATTCTTTTATCCTCAATCTACCAAATCGGTGTTTTATTAGTTTGCGGAGCTCAAGCTAGGTGCACCACTACTACATAGTTGTCGTCATTTTAGATGCCATGGTGTACATAAGATGGGGAAAAACATGGTCCGCAGTCCTACACTGACGTCAACGCTTCTCCACAATGAAACTCCAACACATTCGCAAGCTGAGAAGCATTTAGCCGAGATTGATGGGCTAGAGATGAGATGGACAAGATTCCTAAGATGGCTGTCAGCAGAAAACTTTTCTAAGAAATAGCTTTTCGTGGTCTTAAACCGATAGTAACGGACTTCTTCAGAGAAGCAGGTACTTGGACACAGGAAAAGATTGGCGTTCAAACGTAGCTCTAGCGATTTCCAGCGATTTGGAGCTAAAAATTTGCTACACTGGAAACCTGTGGTTCATGAAACCAGCGACCAGTGCTCTCGCAAGGGAAACGAAATAAATGGAGCTCAAAATGAGGACAAGAAAAAGAAATGAAAGAGGAGACACTGGCGAAAACGGCTGGTATTTATCATAACAGCGCACTGAATCTACTTGCAATCAAAGGAGGAGAGATTTCATCATTTGAAGAATGTAAAAAATCGACGGACTGTGATGAACGTCGCAGCGATAACCTCATTTCCCAATGAATTATTGTTCCTCCCAATAAATGAAGATATTGGTATCAATCAATACCGAATTTGAAAACATCACACATTCACTCCCCATTTGCACCAGTTTCTTCAGTATTTGCTGATATTCACCTTGGTAAGCAGCTCCTTCCTGTCTCAATGATGATGCTGATGCATTCAGTCAGCCATTCGTGTGAGCAGCCGCACTCCCACATCTCGTCAGATATTGTTGTTCTACTGTCCTTCTCGTTCCTTCTCCCTCCCACCCAGCTTTCCAGGTTCTTAGGCTCCGGGAGAAATCTTTTCACCTTGGCTCAGGATTGTCGTCGTTCAAGGGCCCTTGTATGATTTGCACGAGAGTTTCCGCAATGGGATGCCGCTCTTCAGTGGTCTCGGTTAAGGAACTGAGCAGGTATGGAATGCTGGTTTGATTTTGACAGAATTCATCCAACTATATGGATGGTAAGGAAGCCACTGGCCGCTGCTCCCATTTCCGCAAAAGGGCTGGTATCGGGTAAAACGTAGCTACAGCTACATTCCTATAGCTTGGAAAGTGAAGCCTTTGTGATTTTTAGCACTTTGGTAAATTCAAAGCTTCAGGAAATAAACACACACCTCATGAGGAATTTTTAATAACGTGATAAGCAAACGAGTTTGAAGACCGTAGTACTCATGACGTAGTATTCAAGNTCGGGTAAAACGTAGCTACAGCTACATTCCTATAGCTTGGAAAGTGAAGCCTTTGTGATTTTTAGCACTTTGGCAAATTCAAAGCTTCAGGAAATAAACACATACCTCATGAGGAATTTTTAATAACGTGATAAGCAAACGAGTTTGAAGACCGTAGTACTCATGACGTAGTATTCAAGAGTCGTTCTTGTGTGAATGAAATCGAGGCAACCCGTCAATGAGCTCCGAGATAATGATTCCGATACATTCCCATGTGGGATCGAACAGACAATAATTAAACAAATACCTGAACATCAATCAAAAAAATGAATAGATTCGCCGCAATCGCCACAACTATTTACCTCATCTTCAACTGTAGATCCCTGGATCATTCCAATTGCCATGAAACATTCCGAGAGAAGTCGGAAAGAAAGCGTGTGCCGGTTAAGTGCGTGGAAGACAGAGGATTGATTGACGGCCACCTCTCTAGAAGGCGCTAACATGGACCACCCCTTCGATCGCGTTTGGATTTGGTCTACCTGGCAAATTTCTGGGTCTTCTTGGCGTACGCTACTTGTTTTGAATGGTTCACTTACAGTTACCAGTAAGTGCTACCTCTGATTACTTTCAGTTCTTAATGTCCAACTTTCTATGGAGCTCCATTTTGGACGTCTTAATAAATCTTCGGTGGGGCACTGTAGATCACTGGCGAGTTTGTCGATAAAATGTCGATACTCCGATAAAGATGACGATTTCATGAGATATTGACCCGTGTGGTTATTGTCCTTATGTCTTTCCTGTTTCATTCACGCAGTGGAGTAGGCGGGGCGATCACTGTTGTGGGCGCGGCGTCCTCACATCCTCGTTGTGGGTATTTTCAGCGCAAGATCTCCCAATTTAATCACATGAATAACATAAGTTTTGAAGATTTTATTTGATCATACGGTTTTTTTAGCCGAGAGACATTTCGTTAACAAAACACACATTACTAGCAGCTTAACAAAAAGAGAAAAAAACATATACAGAAAATAGTCATGATCACTTAGCGTATACACACGACGTTGAACTAGCCGCACACACGATTCGGTGCGCTTTGAGCTATATCTGGCCGGGTTGGCGGGCACCGTAACCAATGGTTGAATCCCGCTTCAGGAAAGTTGGGAAAAGAGTCACACACGCACATACGCACATTGAAAAAACACTAAGAAAATAGCATACAAGAGCTGAAAAAACGATGGCAAACTGAACGTTGGGCGGGCCGGGAAGACAAGGACGAAAGGCGAAGCGAATCATAGAAGATTCTTGAAAACAACGCCCACCGTGGTTAAGTAGTAGGGCTCTTGTAAGAGCCCTAAAAAAACATAACAGCTAACAACTATGGGGTCATAATAAATAAGAAAGGGTCATATATGTACACCGGGAATGATGCGGTCAAGCACATTTAGAATTCTGAACTGAGCAACTATAGTAGAACCGGGATCCGACTCGAACAACGTCCTGCAGTGGGACGATGATCGAACCGTGAAGTCGGAAGTGAACACATGAACCTCGTGAGCAACTGAGTGTGATGGAAGAAGATGAAAGGAATGAACAGAGTGCGATGTGGGGATCGCTGAGGAAAAGACTCGATGCCAATGCTGCTGTGGCATCAGCCGAAGAGATGGACCCAGCCAGAAGCGAAGCAGCTCAAGCTGCCCTGCCGGCCGGCGATGATCCATGAACATGGCGTGATCACGATGATGTTATTCCGGTTGGATCCTTCGATGGGAGTGGCGCATTATGTACCGGTCCACGGGTCCGTACGCTACCAGACCCTAAAAAATTTGATTTAATTAGGGATACATAGTCAAGATGTGTATGAACCAATGGCACAATTGTTTCTATCTCAGATTTCCTTCTTCTCGCTTTTCCACTCTTTCCATATTCCTCTTTCCTTCCCGTGTCATACCCTGTCCCACTATATACCTTAAACTTTCAATTTTTCGTTCCTACTCCCCCTCCCCCACACATATACCTCAATATGCACTGCATGGAAGATAAACATGACATAAGCCAAGTACTCGCGGGAAGCGGAAGGATTGGGCATGGCATGATCGTCAGATTTTCACAGCTGCATATTCTACTGTCATTGTGTTTTTTATGAAGACTATAAAGTCATGAAAATGGAAAAAGGAATGATGTCATCAGCTGATCAAACCTACCACCACCCCCTTTCCCTCCCACATGAATCAAAGCGACCACCCATGCACAGAGGTGTGAATTTAGCTTTCTACTACTGTAATGGAGAAAACATTGCTTCCGCAAAGAACTATTTGATCAATCCATGATTGCCCGAACAAATGGTCTCTCACGTCTTCTCTAGATTGTCGTAATGATTTCTCTAAAGCCCTTTAGGATCGTGCCACTTCACGGAAAAACAATCCCAGGATGAAATCCCGTACCTAATTCGTACTTTGGCAGAAGTCTTCCCTTTTCGGGTCGCCTCACTCTGACATTCAGTGAAACTGCGTCTCCCATCTCTCACTTCTGCTTAGACTACTGCAATTATTACCCGGATATTTGCCTGAGTTATCATCGCTTTACCCACACAGCATTCCAAAGCCTCTTTTGATTTTTGAGCATCACTTCAATCCTCTGTAATTTTTATAAGGACCATCAAACTTCTGTGAACTTATAAGGACCGTGAAACCAAAGAGTGCCCTAAATTTTCGAACCGATTCGTGAAAGTGTTAGTGTCATTTGATTCTATATCTAAAGCTATATCTAAAAAATAGATCGGTGCTGGACAACCACGAACTCTTTTGCTGTTCGAGCTCTCGAGCGATCTTCAATCGACGATAACTGGCTCGTAGTCGATCGGATGTCGATGTTGTCAATGAATTCGGATGTGAACCGTCGTTCATCGACTGGAATGCCTTCACCACGCGAATCTGGAAGAACCTGCTATGTGCACGGCATGCTTTCTTGAAAACACGCACACATACACACACGCACACGCACAGTATTCTTCTGGCACATCGACAACAAGAAGTGGTCTTGAGTGGAAAATTTCCACATGTGAATGTTAGTTAAGCACAGTTTTCAGGTAGGCCAGAAAGTATATGCTTGTTTAATGGCTATTCTGAAAGAATGGTAACTCAGTTAAGATAAAACAATACGGAAAAATCCAGAAAATCCGGAAATGAAATGGGAAACATTTTATGCCTACTGCCAGAGGAATTATTTTCATGTAAGTGGTCACCAAAGAAGAGTACTGGCCGAGTGGAAAGCAGTGTAAACTGAAGGTCCCGATGGACTCGAAAAGATGGTAGGACTCGCCGGGGTGTACTTTATACTAAGCGATTCTTAGCTAGTTGTCTCAACAGGCGCATGCCCAAGGAACGGAAATGTGCCATTAAAGCTGTACCAGAATCATCCAGTAGAAACTCATTTTAACACTGAGAAGCATCACCTGATCATCTAAGCGGTCCATCAAAACCTCATATAAGACGATCTGTAAGCTATGCCCTTGAATAAGTGCCAAAAACCCCTTCCTGATGATGGTAGGACAGAGGTGCTAGTGTGACAATCACACCCGCTCTAGATTGCGATATGACTTATGTCCTTTTCAGGTCCAGTCTCAAACCAGTACCCCAGATACAACTTCTCTCCTTGAAAGGCCTTTCCTCTGACTAGGTGCCATGGCAAACCCGTGTGAAGATTTGAGAGCTTAGGTAACACGGAACCGTCTCATCGTAAGATAGTTGGAGCGACTTTTATCTACAACGGAACATCTTGAGCTCGGAAACCCAATCCGGGCTATAGAAGCCCTATCCCAGGCTTGGCTTGGAATTGATACCGTATAGACTATCTTTTGCAAAAAGATACCTCAAAGTAACCTTTTGTCTGCAAAATAATGACTTGTTTGGAAATGAGCTATACTAAGTAAGCCATAGCATTACTTCCTGGCCATAGGAAGAAATAATGAAAGAAATGATTATTTCAGTGAGTGCTGAAGTGCATAGATCTGACAAAGATTTGCTCTAAAACTGAATTGATTGGCATAGTGGGTTGAGAAAAAATGTAATGGTGCATATACTGTACCTGTGTCTGAAGTCTAGTGAGACCAAGTAACCAGAGCATTTGACCAGGACGTTTCTCCTGACCGCCTGGTTTTGGTGCCAACGACGACGATGACGGTGCGTCATAGTCACCGGTAAGAAGTATCGATGTCGGTTTCACTTCTCCTTTACCGAATCGGAATGATTTCGGCAATATCGACGACGGTACCGACGTAACAACCTGAGGCGGAAAGAAAACTGGCGTGTATCAACTGAGTAAACCAAATAAATGTGTGATTAAATGGGACTAATTCCCAATGAACGAAGAACACTCGTCGAAGGCAACGCTCAGATCCGTACATGGTCACTGATGTGGGCAGTAGAATCCAAGAAATTCTCAAGAAGTGAGTACTGCTCTCTAGTTCATGGAGACCAGGTCGTAGTTAAAACCAATGTCGCATATTGGGAAAAAATTTCTGAGTGGTAGGGATCTATTAATGGAGCCATCTACTGTGCGGTATGCTGGATTTAATAATTTAATTAATAAAAAAATTTATTGATTATAAGGGGATCAAGGATCAAGTTTTATCCCGCCTGCGAATGCGCCCTGCATTCGACTTCCATTCATAATGTGTATTGAATGCGTATGTGGCTTATACAGTGACTTTCAGTGGCCAGCCCATATACAGGCCAGTATTTTATCCTCTCATACAAGCCTGCTACTAGTTAACCGACCACGGAGAGATGGATGTATTGGTTGGCCATGGCGGATATCGATCCGGTGTTCGAACCCTTGACCATGTGTGTCTGATGAAGCGGCCAATATACCACATCCGCCTAATAGTTATATTGTATTGATCGAAACGGTCTATATCTAGTAATCATATAATATAAAATTACTTGGACGCTTCCAGTAATTTACAATATCAAGGGGAATTCGAAGGGAAATTTCCGATTAAGTTCGCTTTTTGATTCGGACCTTATTTTCAGCTTGACGGTAGAGCCAGGATACTGTACGGACCCAAGCGTTGCCTTCTGCTTTTTTATTTTACTCTGATGATATCATCGTTCATGATATTCTACAAACTACTACAAAAACAATCAAACGTTTTGAAATGTCACGCAGGCGTAGAAAAACAATTAACTACTGGAGAAAAAGCTAACGAAATAGATTTCTACTTCAAAACAGAAAAGTTTTTGCAAAAACTCTACAAAAACTAGGTCAACGCAAGCAAGTGCTTCAAAGATGGTGCATTTGCTACCAAGTGAAAAGTCCTGATACGCCGAAGAAAGTCGCCACCGAAAGATCTAGTGAAATTGCAAGAATATCGATTTGTTAGTACATAGAGTCAGGTGAGTGTCCTTTTTGAAATCATGGGAATAATGTTTTGCCTCGAAAAAAANAAAAAAATGTTAAAAGATCCAAACGAAACCAACCTGTCCCCAAATGAGTTCTCCCAGACCACAGGCAATACAGATTGCCCATTGTATGGCATTCAATGGAGCTGTGGAGAACCAATGACCACCGAATTGTACGATTAACACTTGTGAAATGAGCGTTGTAATCCAAATTATGCAGAAAATCGGATTCGAGAAGAGTCCCTAAAAGTAAATGATCTAGCTTCCACGAAGCATTATCATAAATCTGTGGCAAAGTTCGCAAGTGTCGACAAGCAGTTCCAAACCACTTGGCCGCGCGGTGAGACAACTAGCTAAGAAATGCCGCGCGGCGAGGCAACTGATTAAGAACCTTTGCGCGCCGTGAATGGATCGAGTCCTCTAGTGGGTACCTCAGATTTGGAAGCTATCATCAGTATTACAAAGATTTCTCCGGCTTTTCGGATTTGCAGACCGTAATCGACCGGTTCTATGGAATCAACATTCACCCAAAACGTTTCCCAAACAGGGCGAAAGCTGATATTGGTAAGAACAGTTTTTGCAATATGATCCATATCAGCTTCCTTGAGAACTACGAAGCCTAGACAAGCCGACCACCCCCCAGAGACCCTACTAAACTCCCAGAGAAATCGACTCGGAAGTTCCCAGAATAGCTCTCGTGCTTCCCTTCCGGGTTTGAAATTTAAATAAAAAATTCGGCTGTGAAAATTCCAGAATAGCTCTCACACCCTTCTGCCAAAGTGATGTAACTGTCGCTCAGTTTGACCCTGCCCTGGAAACAATTCCCAAATATCTAGGACTTTTGTGTCAGCGTACGAATTCGAACCAACCTTGAACACATTTCGTTCACCATGAACCTTCCTGGCATTAATCTCATTGCACAACGTCATTAAAACGAATGCATTGAAAATTATTGTGAAATGGGCACTGGGTGGTGATCCCAATGGAGCATTTCGACCAGATGGCGTGTTTGGAATGAATCTGTCACCTGAAACATCAATCACTCAGTCTTATATGTGGAACCGAGCTTAATCATGTATTCATTTAGCAATTTGACCCGAAATGTAGGCCGATTCTCTGGCCTACAGTACAAGCTCAAAGGTATCGCCGGCCTATTATGCCGTAAAAGACTCAAGGCTTCGAATGAGCTAGACATAAGTGACCTTTGAATGTAATAAAAATATTACCGTGGGTTCGGAAAAAATCTGACTGCTTCATGGGTGGAAAATCAAAAATACAATGGTAGTCGTGGACCTGTAAAGTAAAAGTCACAGTACTCACCCCAGAACATGATTCCGAAGAGAATCACGAGCTGATAAATAGCATGACCGACAATATTCTTGACCATGGTCCGTGAAATCAGTGATTTCGTCCGGCCATAGGGTTTTCTAAATAAGTGTTCAATTAATGGTATGCCGGTGAAGAATGGAAAAAGCGATCATTCTATCGATCGAACTTCTGAACGTGTCCCAATACCTGTCAAGTAAGTCCTCGGTGGGCATTTCGGTGGCCAGAGCCAGTGAAGCCAGTGTGTCCATGATGAGATTGACCCACAACATTTGGACCGCCTTGAAAAAATCATTTATCGAAATACACAGTTGCGGAGCGAGACCCAAGGTCACATAAAACTATTGAAAAGTGAAAAATTAAAAATAAAAAGATGGCTGTTGAGTTAGGTCAAAGCACAATAGAAACAAAGGGGGAAAGGGGGATCTCCCAGTCGTTTGAGTAACTATGAGTGATTCCTGGGGATAAGGAGCAGCAACGAGCGATACTGGGCTCGATCAGATGAAGCAGCGTAAGGGAAATGAGAAGAGTAAGGGAAAAAGGAGTGCCTGGTCTATATTAAAAGAGAAACGCCGGGAATTCCCATGCTTTTCAAAATTCTTACTTCGGCAGCTAACGTATCAGTGGATCATTCACTTCATCGACTTGTTCTTTGCTCTAAAAATTAGCTAATTGCGGAAGGTACCCCTCCTCTACTGAAAGGAAATTGGGGATAAAAGAGAAAAATCAAAAAAGAATCCCAAAATCGACAGCAGCCAAATGATATCACGTGCTAGCAGCTGCACTGACAGATCTCTCTAAGTGGCAAAACTGGAGGGTTCAAATATTTAATGGCGAGTATGAACGAAAGTGAGAGGCCATCGTGGTCAGCAAGAAGTAGGTTAGCGCGCTCTCCGTACTTTCAAAGAAGATGGCAAAAATTTGATCTTATCAAAGAGACAGAGACTCTCTATAGGCATTAGACTCATAGTGTTTTACCGTATATACTTACATTTGCAGTTGCAGAAAAATATCTGTATATTGAATTAGAACAGTAGAATCACCAACTAAACAATGAGCACCTTGAGAGGCGAATCGCTGATGGCACAGGCTCCAATAAATGCAATTGTCACAGCAACAACGTTCACAGTCAATTGGAATTGAAGGAACTTCGAAATGGAATCGTAGACGTTACGACCCCACATCACAGCCTATAATGATCAGAAATGAACTGAACTAATTCTGGAATAATGAAATAAACTAATTTCTTCAAAAATAATTATAGCATAATAATCACAAAATCTGTAAACCCCAGTTTTGTTTGTTTTATCGAATACTCAATTAATTACAGTAATCATTCATCACAAGGTTGGTGAATTACGGTAGAAACTTCGCCCACTGGCTAGACTTGAGCGAAAAACCTCAAGCCATGCCGGATGATCAAAAGTATTATTTATAAATAATTCTTAATACTCGAAATTGAATAAAATCAAATAGTTTGAGAAATATTGAAGCGTTGAAAATCACCTTGACAATAGATGTGAAGTTATCGTCGGTAAGGATAATATCGGAGGCCTCTTTGGCTACATCAGTACCAGCAATGCCCTTGAATAATTGGATGATGACGATATAAAAAACACAAAGGAAAAATCAAAAATAGAGAAAATAAGCATTATTAAAATTAGTAAGTAATATTACAAGATCTCAGCAAACTAATCGATTACTAACCATAGCGAATCCGACGTCGGCTTTCTTGAGAGCTGGCGCATCATTGGTACCGTCACCAGTGACGGCCACCACTTCTCTGGAACGACACATTTTGTACAAAGATTTAAATTTTTGGTAAGCTCGCAACTTGGAAATCAATAAATCGATAAATCGATTAGTACCGAAGAATTCGATATTGTTACCTGTTCTTGGACACTTTACTGTCGATGATTCCCTTGACCAGTACATACTTATCCGACGGTTGAGCACGTGCCAAAACTCGTAGCCGTGGCCATATAGCGTCCAATTTTGCTTGGCTGACTTTTCCATTTTCATCGCGAATTCTGGAAAAAATATTTATCCAAATAAATCAAGGTGGTCATGAATTTTTCAGAAAAAAAAGAGCTGGTCTTATAAAAGAAGCATTTTTGGGATGGAATGACAATGTATCCATGCCATGGTCAACGTTTTCAGCAGGCATTTAGAATCGCCAAAACTGGAACCAAACGTGACGTTATAGACGTCGATCGGAAGGGTATGGAGATGTTAGTAATGACTGGGCAACGGCTAACCCAACCTGACCTATGTATGTCATCGGCGATGTTTTTGGTAAACGCCGGCTGTTCCTTCTGATCGATAGCGTAAAAGAATGTGTGCTACTTTTCGTAAATATTCAGAGATCTAGTTTGCCCGATATTCTTTTCCGATCCCCCAGACCAAACTCCACTGTTCGGAGGGGTGTATTTCATCGGGAATGTCTTTTTCAAATGTTCTGGGATTTGCTCCTAGATGGTGACGTAAGGCATATCAGAAAATAGGGTGATATATCAATGGAATCCATGAACTTCCGAGAAATACTGAAGCCTCATTCGGGCAAAGAAAAGAATCACATCTTTCAATCTATTATTTTAATCCCTACCTGGCATTGAACTCCTTTCCTTCTAGTGCAAGAAAATCCGCACCCGGCCGAAGGATTCCACAAGCTGTAGCGATAGACCGAGCTGTGTTGATGTTATCACCGGTGACCATTCGGACGGTAATACCAGCTTTTTGGCATTTGTCGATAGCAGCTGGTACCTGAAAGATGTTAGGCTTTCTCAATTCCATTCGAAAATCCAGTTTCCTTTGGGTAAGCTCGAAAAGCTCATCGTAACGCACCTCTGGACGGACTGGATCTTGAATTCCCATTATACCAATCATCGTCATGCCGTTACGAATCGTCTCCTCATCATCCCAATCGATCGGCCCGCTATATTCAACCTGTAAGACCAAAGAAAATGATCTGGGAGAACTGAGAATACCGCAATGACCCTCGTACCTCGTTCTCTTCCTTTTTTGACCCTTTAGGGACCATATCCTTATAGGCTAGTCCTATTGTGCGAAGACCATCTGAGGCCATAGGTTCGATTACTTCTTTGACAAGCTCGGCCATATGAGTCGATGTGAAGTCTTGAACCTTTCCTTCATTGCCGAGCATGTATGTACACCTGGAATCATTGGAATAAAACAACCAAATTTTCAAGCCTAATTCATTTCCTTAATTACTTTTTTGCATTGGTAAATTTTTTTTCCACTTTCACTAGTGGGAAACCAACTTGTGGGTCTGACAAACCTTTTTACAGTAGAAATTTTTCTTTCCAGAATTCTTGAAAATTCAGAAAACGACTGAACTCTGCCCTTTTCATGAAATGATATCTTCCATAAAGAATTTACTCTGGCTTTATCAATAAATGTGTGTCTACGTAGAGTGGTCGGTGAAAATTAGGGAAATGACCCTAAATCGTATGGGACAAGCTCGAAACAAAAGAGCTAGTTCGCTACAGCAGAAAGGCAGAGGAAGGGTGCAGTATTTCTAACAACATTGACGGAGGACTTTGAACTTTCAAATTTGATTAAGCAAGAAAAAATTACAAACTCAGAGAAGTATAATCCTACTGAATCTATGCTATGAAAAATAATTCGAAAAAATAAATAAAAAACCACCTTGACAAAATGATTTCTGATGCTCCTTTAGCATAGATCCGATAAACGCCTTCAGCTAGCTCCAGTACTGTCATCATTGATTTCCGAGACGAATTGAAAGTGTATACCTTGAAGGAATAATATTGTATTGTATATAATATTGTATAACTATAAATAAGCATATTATAATGCGATATCGTCATAACAATGTAATATTGCTGGACCCTCACCTTGTAAAGGGTTTCCTCTGGATGTTTGGCTCGAATCTCATCGTAACTCTGTTGCATGTCGAGCACAAAGCCAAGCAATGCGCATTCCGTCTTGTTACCGACCTGAATCAGCAAAATAACTTTGTATTTTGTTACAGTATCTTTTTATTTATAATGCAGAGTGTCCTCCAATACTAGTATTTTATCACATTTTATGGACCTAAACGGAGAACGGAGGTGGTGTAGTGGCAAGTGGCGCACTATCACACACACACATGGTCTCGAGTTCGAATACAGGATGGACATCCGCGTGAGCCAACCGAGCCCTCCATCCCTCCGGGTACCATAGCCGTCTGGTAGGACCAAAGCACCGACTTGTACATCGGCTGGCCACCACAAATCATTGTGTAGACCACAAACGCAGTGAACGCTTACGATTATGAATGCAAGTCGAATGCGGGGCGCACCTTTAAGATGGGATTGATCAACGTCAAAAGACTTTATACCTTCTCCTCTCTATATTATGTTATTTATCGTTTGAATAACAACCGAAAGCAATCCCATTGAGCGTAGAGAAGGCCCGGCTTCATTCAAGAAAAATCTCAACGGGCTCCAGAAAATGGGGAAAGAGGTATAATCTCTTACATTTCTTGGTCCGGGTGAAAAAACCACACTGTCTAAGTGGAATCTAGTCCAATTGAGTTTCATGGAAAGTTGAACCAGGGAAAAATATAAAATTAGAGTTGCAAATGAGCTGAACCCATAATTTCCCTTGTCTCCCTTTTCCAGCCTTCCCCTCCTATTCAATGTCCAATCCGAATCACTCGTGGTTATTGCTAGAATAGGTAGCATCCACAAATCCACA